TATATATATAAAACACAGAATACTATTCAGCAACAAAAAGGAATGAACCATTGATACAATAACTTGGATGAATACTCAAGGTGTTATGTCTAGGGATAGAAACTAATCCCAAAGGTGACATACATACATATCTATGTAACATGTCTGAACTGACAGTGGTAGAGCACATAGGGGTAAAGAGGGTATGGTTATAAAAGGGCAACACGAGAGGTCCTTATGATGATGGAACTATACAGTATTTTGACTATAGTGACAGATACACACAAGCTACACAAGTGATGAAGTTGTACTGTACTAAATATATACATGCAAACAAATGAAAAGAAGAAAAACGAGAAATGTTCCTAACGCCTGTGATCAATGTCAATATCCTGGATGTGATATTTATACAACAGTTTTGCAAAATGTTACCATTAGCGAAAATTGAGTAAAGTGTTCCCTGGACTTTTATGTATTGTTTCTTAAAACTGCATGTGAATCTACATTTCTCTCATAAAAATTTCAATTTAAGAAAATAGCAAGATGGTAGATGTTCACCTCAGAACTTACTCCAAATAAAAACATTAAGATAGAAGGCAGCGATTATCAGGCAGGATAAGAAAGCAAGAGTCAACTCTACCTTACAGAAAAAAATCACTTGAAATTAAATAACAAATACAGACTAAAGAAAGATGGAATTAGATATATACCATGCAAACACTAATCATAAGAAGCTGAAATGATTATAATAATATCAAAAAAACCACATTTCAGGACAAAGAATTTTGCCAGGAATAAACAGGAAAATTACACAATGAGAAAGAAGACGTAACAATCTTAATGTAACTGTACCTAAAATAAGAGAGCTTCAAGTTGTATGACAAACCGACAATAGAAAAACACAGGGTCACAACTACACCTGGAAACTTCGTATCTGTCTCAGGAATTGATAAAACAACTGAAAGGGAAATTAAGCATAGATATGTATAATTTGCAAAACATTATCAACCAAATGACATTTGGGAATATCTCACCCAGTGACAGCGGAATACATAATCTTTTCAAGTTCACATGGAACATTCACCAAGAAAAACTTACAGAAAATCATAAAGATTATATTCTCTGAACACAAACAAGTTAGAAATGAATAGAAAAGTATCTGAAAAAAAATCCCAAACATTTAGAAATCACACAACAGTTTTCTAAATAACCCATGGCAGGGGTGGGTGGAGAAACCTTAACGTAAATTAGAAAATATTTTTAACTAAATGAAAATGAACACATAACTTTCCAGAATTTCTAGATGCTGTAGTGAAATTCAGAACTTTAAAAGTTTATAATTAAAATGGAAATAGTATCAAAACCAGTGAAAACCCAGCTTTCATTTTAAGAAGTTATAAAAAGAACTAACCCCATAGTGAATGGAAACATAAAAATAGTAGCAAAGTGAACATGAGTCAATGAAATAAAAAAAGGACAAATAGAGAAAATCAATGAAACCAAAAACTCATTCTTTTGAAAAGCATAATCAATGAAACTGACAAATTTCCCCCAAACCGATGAAGAAAGAGAAAACAAATTTTATCAATGTAAAAACAAAAGAGGGGTGGTCAGTACACATCATACAGACATCATTTTTTTGTGAATATTGACACAACCATCTTTAACACTTAATCTGCAAATCAAACTCAGCAACATATAAATGATGGACCACAACCAGGTGGATTTTATTCCAGAAAATACAAGGTTGTTTAAACATTTGAAAATATGTCAATGTAATTAATCATAGCAGAAAAATTTAAAAAGGAATCATATGATTAGATTTTGTGCTTAAAAGGCCAAATGACAAAAATCAACATTTATTCATAAAACTCTCAGCAAACTTGAATAAAAAACAACATTCTATACCTGAGAAACCCAGAGCTGACATGAAACATGGGAAATGACTCAATGCTGTCCCCTAAGACTGAGAGTAAGGCAAGGATGGTCTTTTGTCACCAGTTCTCTTCAGCATTGTAGTGAGAATGCAGTAAAGGCAAAAAAAAAAAAAAAAAAAAAAGACGTAAACAGCATAAAGATTGAAAAGAAAGAAGCAAGTGCAGGAGACATGATCATATACAATTAGAAAATTTTATGGAATCAAAAAGCTACCAAAACGATGTTTATCAAGGTTACAGGAAACAAGGTCAATACACAAGGATCAACTGTATTGCTATAGATTAACAAAGAACTACTGAAAGTGAAATTACATAAATAATACTACTTATAATAGCATCCAAATCAAGACAGACTTCGGGATGAATCTAACAAAACAATGTCTGTACTCAGGCAATACAAAACGCTGCTGAGAGAAATTAAAGACCTAATTAAATGGTGAGATAGAGCACATTCATGGATCAGAAAGTCAGTATTATTAAGATGTCAACTTTCCCCAGACATATAGAATAAATAAAATCCTAAAAGCAATTATGAAGGCAGCCTTTGGTTTTTTTTTTAGAAACCGACAAGTTCATTCTAAAATGTATGTGGAAATGCAAAAGACATGCAAGGGCCAAAACAGTTCTGGACAAGAGAACAAAGTTGGAGAATTGATACAATTTCATTTAAAGACTTATTAACAAAGATATGGGAATAAAGACAATGTAGAGAAGCTAAACAGATCAATGGGACAGGAAAAAGGACCCATAGGTAGAAACCACCCCCGACACACACAAAGACAAATAATCAATTGGATGTCTTAAAAGGTGCCAAGGTAATTCAATGGAGAAAAGATAGTCTTTTCAACAAATGGTGCTGAAAAAATGGAATGTTCAAATGGAATAATATAAATTTTGACCCTTAAAACACTATACACAAAAATGTATTCCAAATAGATCATATACCTAACATAGAGCTAAAGCATTTAGAAAACAAGAGGAAAAATCTCTGATACTCTTGGGTCTGCAAAGATTTCTTAAAAAAGATTAAAACTGGTAAGCTGGGCTTTATCAAAATGAAAAACTTCTAAAAAGCCACAAACGGGGGGGGGAGGGTACAGATTGCGGGAAAATATCCAATCAATAAAAAATCTTTATAACTCAAAAATAAGACAACCTACGAAGTGGGCAAACGATTTAAACAGATGCTTCACAAAATAAGATACACAAATGGCAAGTAAGTGAAAGATGCGTAACATCACTATTTATCAAGGCAATGCAAATGAAAAGCACAGGGAAATGCCACTATGCACATTAAAATGGCTGTATTAAAAAGTAACAATACCAAGCATTGACAAAAATGTGAAATAACTCCAACTCTCACACACTGGTGACAGAAATGTAAAATGGAACAACCACTTCAGAGAAGTCTGACATTATATATACTAATCCTACAAACCAAAAAACTTTGCTCCTAAGTATTTACCCGAGAGAAATAAAAACATGCCTACATTAAAATGCACATGAAGTTCACTGCAGCTATGTTCATAACAACCAAAAACTGGAAAGAGAATGGATAAACTGTAATTAAGCATCCAATAAAATATGACTTAATAAAAAACAAAGGAGTTACTGACAGATGCTAAAACATGTATACATCTCAAAATCATGCTGAATAAAAGACAAGGAAGAGACATCTTAGATATCTCCATTTATGTGAAATGATATTTTAAAAAGTCAGTCTAACCTCGTTACTGAAAGCAGATTATTGGTTGCCAGGGGCCATGGTGGGGGGCGAGTCCCAGGAGTGACTGGGAAAGGGGAATGAGAAACCCTTCTGGGTGATGGGTTGTCTCTAAACTGTAGGAGTCATATGTATGAGTATACTCTTATTAAAATTTGAGTCGGTAGAATTAACCATATTTAAATTATTGCCCAGAGTTGATTTTTAAAAATTTGGAAATGTTATTTTAATAACAAAGCTCTTAAAATTTTGAAAATCATAAACAGGAAAATAGACAATATTGTTATATTCATATATCATGCTTTATTAAAACGCATCAACTATAGCTAAGTATGTCAATATGTGTAAATATCAAAACCATGCACCTGAAGACAAAAGCAAGTTGCAAAACACGTGTTCCCACTGATATACAAGGAAAACAATGTTAGACACACACACACACAGAAATATATGTAAAATATTACTGTAAAAGTAATGAGATGTGAGATCAATATTAACCAAATTTAGAAAAGTGCTGAAGGTGGTAGAAGTTACAGGATATGGAATGGATTTGAGGATGGTATGCAGATACTTCAACTATTCTTGTACATTACTTCCAACCTGCAGCAGACACAGCAATGGTTATGATATTCCTCATAACTGGACACACCCCCTGGAAAGGTGGGCTATCACTGGGTCAACAGGCCTGAATTCAAGAAAGCTGAGCTATGATGAGCTTCCTGGAAATTTCAATTGGGACACAAAGGTCATATGCCCTACAGTACTCTACTTTCATTAACACACTCAATGTTTCTTCTGGTTCCTGAACCTACAAAGAGGAAGCAGATACGTCCTCCAGACTGTCCCTGGCTGGTGGCAGTGTACATTCTGGTATGAATCTAGTCCATGGGGAGAACTAGACCCCAGGATGAACCAGACCATCAAGCATTATTCGCAGAGGTAACAGCATAGTCTGGGGACAGACTAATCAAAAACCTATGATGGCTCATGCTAGGGAGGGCCATGGGGTGTCATGTGTTTCTCCCGAAGTGAAATCAGAGTCTGAAAAGATTATTCAGTTTATTTGTTCTTTTCAAAAAGCTTTGCATTCCAGTTAATGTTTTTAAAAATGTCTATTTTCAGCTTTGTTTCTATTAAAAAATTTGAGATCAGAGAAAAACATAACTTTAAGAATAATATATCTAAAGGAAAATTTCTGTCTATATTACCTAGAGACATTCTTCCTTCAATACAATCTTCAGATATAATAAAGTCTGAATTTTGTTACAGTCTGCATTCAAAACATCTTTATGACTTCCTCCAATATCAATTGTCTTGCTCAACAAAATGGCATTTCTTGATAAAGGCTCAACCATATTTGCTGCATTCTTTGGGTATTTTCCCTATTATTTCCCTGACATACATTGAATACAACTTGTGTTATGAAGGTCTCAAAAAAATACAAGATGTTGACACTTTTTCCCAAGGGTGGTCTGATTGTTATTTCTGGCCAAATTCTGGAAGAACATTTTCACTCATTTGTTTGATTGACAGGATTATCTCCTATGTAAGTTCTTTGTTTAATAAGCTCTACTTCATAATAAAAATAATTCCCCATATTTCCTACACGCATTAATAGGGTTTCTTCTACAAACAGTCACTTTTAGTTGTCTTACTTACAACAGATTTTTAAACATTCACCAAATTCAGAGTATTTGCCACTATAAATATTCTCTTCTTTACTTTGGAAGATGACTTACGGTAAAAGATTTGCCATTCTTTACATTCATAGGGGTCAGGTCTTTTGTGAATTTTCTGTGGTATTTTGAGGTATGAATCACAAGAGAAAGATTTCTCTCACTGCTGTGTTTAGAAATTTTCTTCCCCTGTGTGTAACCTTGGATGTACTGTGATAACTGTTTTCTTGGAGGTTTTCTCACTCTCAATACATTCATAGGGCTTCTCTCTTATGTGTCTTCTCTGATGTACTTTGAGGCCTGAGTTACAACTGAAGGTTTTCCCACAATGATTACATTTATAGGGTTTCTCTCCTGTGTGTGTTCTCTGATGCTTAGTGAGATCTGACTTATGATAGAAGGACTTCCCACATTCGTTACACTCATAAGGTTTCTCCCCTGTGTGTATTCTCTGATGTACGGTGAGAATGGATTTCTCAGAAAATGACTTCCCACACTCATTACATTCATAGGGCTTCTCACCTGTGTGAGTTCTCTGATGTGATCTGAGGACTGAACTGCAAGTAAAGGTCTTCCCACACTGATTACAGTGATACGATTTTTCCCCTCTGTGTGTTCGTTTATGTATTGTATAATCTGACTTATGGCAAAAAGTCTTCCCACATTTTTTACACACATAGGGCTTCTCTCCTGTATGAGTTCGCTGGTGTACTGTAAGGTATGAATTCCTAGAGAAGAATTTCCCACATTCCTTACATTCATAAGGTTTTTCACCTGTGTGAGTTCTGTGGTGTTTAGTGAGGTCTGATTTATTGTAGAAGGTTTTTCCACATTCATTACACTTATAAGGTTTTTCCCCTGTGTGTATCCTCTGATGTACTGTGAGGACTGATTTCTCAGAAAAGGATTTCCCACACTCACTACATTCATATGGCTTCTCCTTTGTGTGAGTTCTCTGATGTACTTTTAGACCTGAGTTGCGACTAAAGGTTTTTCCGCACTGATTACATCCATAGGGTTTTCCCCCTATGTGAGTTTTCTCATGTTTAGTGACATCTGACTTGTGACAAAAAGTTTTTCCACATATCTCACATTCATAGGGTTTCTCCCCTGTGTGAGTTCTCAGATGTACTGTAAGGTAGGAGTTTCTAGAGAAGAATTTTCCACATTGATTACACTCATAGGGTTTCTCACCTGTGTGTGTTTTCTGATGTATTGTGAGGACTGAGTTGCTTATGAAGGTTTTTCCACACTGATTACATTCATAGGGCTTCTCCCCTGTGTGAATTCTCTGGTGTACTGTGAGATATGACTTATGGTAGAAGCTTTTTCTACATTCCTTACATTCATAGGGTTTCTCTCCTGTGTGAGTTCTCTGATGAATTATGAGGTGTGAACTTCTAGAGAAGCATTTCCCACACTCCTTACATTTGTATGGTTTCTCTCCTGTGTGGATTCGCTGATGTAAAGTGAGGAGAGATTTCCGAGAGAAGCATTTCCCACATTCCTTACATTCATAGGGTTTCTCTCTTGTATGTATTTTCTGATGTTTGGTGAGTTTTGACTTTTTGCAGAATGTTTTTGCACATTCATTACATTCACAGACCTTGTCTCCTATGTGTGTTCTCTGAGTTACATTCAGAACTGACTTCTCCCAGAAGGGTTCTCCCAAGTTGTTATATTCAAATATTCTCTCTCCTGTGTCAGGGAAGTCTGATCTCCCATTGAAATTATCCACTCTTTCAATATACTCATAACCTTTCACCTCTACATGAACTCTGTGTTCCAAGAGAGATGACTTCTCAAAAGTTTTAGCATATTCATGAAACTCACAAGGATTTTCTGTTCTTTGTGCCATCTTACGGACCATGAGGGCTGAATCATTACAGAAAGTTTTATCAGATTCATTATGTTCACAAGGACTCTGGTCTATGTGAGCTTGGTTATATGGAATGACAACTGCCTTCTCATGGAAAGCTTGCCAACATTCCTTGTATTCCTTATCGCTTTGAATAAAGGATTGCTCTATATTTTTAATTCTCTGATATGGGATGAAATCTTCATTATGACTGAGGTATTTTCCATTTTGAATGAATTCACAAGGTTTCTCTCCCATTTGAGTTTGTTCATGGTTAATATGAAGGAACAATTTCCCATATGTATTGAGGTTAACAGGCTTCTTACTTAAAGAGTTTTTCTTATTAATAATTAATTCTGAAATACATTTCAAATTCATATCACACGAGTCACACCTACAGGGTATTTTTATGGAAGGAACTGTGTCTGTGCTGAAATTAAAAATGCTTCCTAATACATTACCTCTGTGCATAGTCAGTGTTTTGTTGTTGATAAACGGGGCTTGACAAAAATGTCTGTCCTGGGTTTCTTGATTCTTTTCTAGTTGGTTATCAACTTTGCAGACTTCTAGAAGTGAGAAAAACAAACCATAAGCCATGAATCGTATCATAATTATGATGAAATTACACTTAAAACAAATGCCATTTACATCACTGACTTCGTTTTGTGAAATAAGAGTGACCCAAATAGTCATATTGCCCCATCCTTCGGATTAAAAAAAATAAAACCTGACACGGTGGAAAAGGGGGATAGAAACTTAGAACACACACATCTACATTTGGCAATTTTCAAATACATATTTCAAGACTTAATATATACATTAGAAATAAATAAAAAGCATGGTGAAGAAAACAGACTTGGAAAAAAAATGGCTCATCTAGGAAGGGGAAATGCAGAGAACTAGAGAGGCCATGAAACTTAGTAGATAAGAGTGCCCGAAAGAAATAGAGGAACAATTTGATATTTTGAAGGATCAGACTTTACATAATATTCCTCATACTTACATTAGTGCAGCTAAATTCTCTCTACACTTTCCATGTTTACAGTTTCATTCTCCTCCTTTTAAAAGTACTTGTTTTGTTATACATTTAGTACATTGTTAATATCAAATTAAATTTCTGAAAGCACGGATTTCTTTGTGCTTGTGAATAGAGTCCTGTAATATGGTTTCTAATTTTCCCTCTACTTGTGTTACTTATAAAAAATATAAATGTCCACCAGGAAAATCAAAAAGATGAGAACAAGACTGAAAGATAATCAAACCCATCAGTTGTTTTAGTTGTGGTATATTCAAACTTATTTTGTCAGATATGCTACCACCAGATGCTAATTTTTCCCCACTATAAACCTGCTCTGACATAATATTAATAATTTTTTCTTTTACACCCGGATTTCTACATTTCGTGGTTTCATTTATAACCATGGAAGACCTGACCTAAAACATTCAATGACATATTTATTTACCCTAAGAATTCTCAGCTATACTTCACGTTACCTTCTTGCTCAGTACATACAACATAACAATGATGACCCTATTTAAAAACCTATTCAGGGTGCCTGGGTGACTCAGTCGTTAAGGATCTGCCTTCAGGTCAGGTCATAATCCCAAGGTCCTGGGATCGAGCCCCGCATCAGGCTCCCTGCTTGGCGGGAAGCCTGCTTCTCCCTCTCCCACTCCCCCTGCTTGTGTTCCTGCTCTCGCTATCTCTCTCCGTGTCAAGTAAATAAAATCTTAAAAAAAAAAAACCAAAAACCTATTCAAAGCCCATTGTCTCCAAGCACCATTAGAAGCAAACACACCGCAGTTATAATTTCGGGGGGGCGGGATTTGTCCCCAACCACATACATATTAGGTACTCAAGTGATCACTTCACTAGTCCATAATAAATGTCTTCTTTCTAGAAATGCCAGACTATTAATTTGCCAAAAATCATTCAAGTTCAACCAAGACTTTTCACTCAGCTGGTTTACATTCCCATTTTGGATTTGCTCAGACCTTCACTCTTTAGGAAAATGACACTGTCTCATTATAAGTCTTCACAAACATCTCTACCATTTCGAGTCCTACTTACATTGAAATTTAAAATTAATCACATTCTATACATCTCATTCTATCAGAATGTTGGATAATACCCCCTTTAAACATAAACATACCCTGTTAACTGTTGAAATTTGAAATACTCAGTAGTCTTTTTTCTTTTCCCAACTACAACCTATGGTGTCACAAGTATTTAAATCTGATTTCCTATGAATACATCTGAGTGGACATGAAAGATTTCCTATGAATACATCTGAGTGGACATGAAAGCACACAACAAGTGGTGTGCTTTTTCAAAACAAAGTCCAAGTTTTCTACAAATCTGTAATATTGAACAAGAATCTACAGGTTTGGGGCACCTGGGTGGCTGAGTTGTTAAGCGTCTGCCTTCACCTCACGTCGTGATCCCAGGGTCCTGGGATCGAGCCCCACGTTGGGCTCCCTGCTGGGCAGGGGGCCTGCTTCTCCTTCTCCCTCTCCCCACTGCTCCCCCTGCTTGTGCTCTCTGTCAAATAAGTAAATAAAATCTTAAAAATAAGAATCTACACGTTTATAACCCAACATGTGCATTTAGAAATTCCTTGTAGTATTTTCTGAATATAAAGGTTCTCTCACTCATCAAGAGGCACAGTTAATGAATTAAGTAATGATCCAATACCCATTATATATTATACGACAAAATAAAGATATGCTGTCTTTGAAGAAATTATAATCCAGTAATAGCTTCTTCATTCAACATCCATACACTATCAGGAATCAGATTACATACTAGATAATGTAAATCAAAGCAAGGAAGGAACATTTTACGAAAGCTGAGCTTAAATTTAAAAAATGTGCTTAAAAACAAAGACAATGCTGTTAACAATAGGAAAAGTTAACAGGAAAAGTAACCATTACCATACGCCAAGCACTGCTCCATGTACTTTTCATGTATTAATTCACAAGAATCCCCAAGTATGTTAGGAATGAAATGTGGACTTGTATGGCAGGAAAGCATATCTGTGGGCAATCCTAGGAATAAGGAGTAAATGGGAGTTTAGCACCAGTTCTGTGCCACAGAGATGAGATGTAGTCATATTTAAGGGTCACTGGAGCACCTGGGTGGCTGTTGGTTAAGTGTCCGACTCTTGGGATTCAGCTCAGGTTGTGATCTCACGGCTATGAGATTGAGCCCCGCTTAGGGCTCCATGCTCAGCAGAGTCTGCTTGAGATTCTCTCTCTCCCTCTTCTGCTGCACCCCCCCCACTCATGTGTGTTTGCTCTTAATAAATAAATAAATCTTAAAAAAAAGGTAAAAAAATATTAAGGATCATTAAATGAGAAAAACATAAATTTGCTAATTACATATTGGGGAAAACACAACTCAAGATATTAACATGATAAATTAGACGGTTTGTGTGGCAAAGTGTAAGTGCATTTAGGAATTAGAACAAAGAGTAAAACAGAATGCCCAAGTGTTTTGGGTGGTATCAGTGCAAAGTGAGAATATGAAAAGAATTTTTTTTAATTTATTTATTTGCCAGAGAGAGAGAGAGAGAGAGAGAGAGAGAGAGAGAGAGAGAGAAAGCATAGCAGGGGAAGCAGCAGGCAGAGTGAGAAGCAGGCTCCCTGCTGAGCAAGGAGCCTAATGTGGGACTCGATCCCAGGACCCTGGGATCACCTGAGCCGAAGGCAGATGCTTAACCAACTGAGCCGCCCAGGAGACGCTATAAAAAGAATTTTTTAAAGTTTACAAAAATAAAACAATAGTGATCTAACACTAGTAAGAAAAGAAGACAGAAAAATAAAATGATACTAAGACAGTTACAAGAGAAGACTCATAAAAGGTAACAAATGAAGCGGGTAAAATTTATGATTTGTGAATGCTAATTGTGATATTACTTCTTGCCACATTGAAGGGGGGATATCCTGTATATTCTGTATATGGGCAGGTATATAACACTGAACGTCAAGTGGGTAAAAGATGCTAAAAATATAACATGTAGTTAGCAGAATAAATGAATACCTATTATCTTAGCTATAGCAAGGTATTATTATATTTTGAAGATCCAATTTGACACTTTGCACTTTAACAGGTAAATGTAGTCTGTTTCCATTTATGATTACTGAAAAAAATTCAAGTCGTCTCTCACATTTTAGTTGGCACTTTGTATTTGTCACAATTTTACTACCGATTCTATTGTACTTTTCTTCCTTCTTTTTGAAATAATTTCGTATCTTTTCCATTTTTTCTTCTTTACAACTTTAGAAGTTATACACACCTGTTTCTCAGCTTTAGGTGGCTATCCATCACATCATACCATGAATATTTAACTTAAAATCTGGAGGAATTCAGTATCTTACACCTCTTTTTCTGAAGAACAGAAGCATCAAACTCAATTTGATCACCTCTCACCTCATTTATATGCAGTTATTGCTTTGTGTACATGGTTTTTTAGCCCTACACATTAGCATCATATCACTTTATATACCTATTGTTCAGATTTACCTCTATCTCTTGTCATCTCTTACCACTTACCACTCCTTCTCTCACCTCAAGCATTCTTTTGGGTTTCATTTTCTCTTTTCCTGTAGTATTTCCATTAGAATTTTACAATGAAATTACATAATTAAAGGTATGGCTTCTATAATTTATTTCATTACCAACCCAAATTTTATGATCCACTCTGACACGAACTCTCCTGTTGACTAAACCCCAGTTAGTGTCCTCTGAGCCCTATTCTCAACTAGGCCTTGACTAGGTCTTCCAGGTCTATCCGGGCTGAGCTCAGTTTTAGCAAGAATCTTTTAAGTCGGTCTAGTGACAATCCCCTCACCCTTGATATCTGATCAAGTTCCTTATACCCCGCCCCTGATGTATTAGTGCCTGGTCTGCATGCAGCAGGAATCCCCCTACAGTTGATGTTTCTCTTAGTAATCTTCTATCCAGTGATTCCCCCGACTCTGCAAGTCCCTAGCTGTCGTAGCAGTATTTGGAGTTGAGTTCAGCTTTACTGAAACTTCTCACCTATTCCAACAGCTACTGAATAAAATCTTTATCACTGTTAGCTGGTGGCTGGCTTTATTTCTCATTGAAACAGCATGAGCTCAGTCGACTGCTGGAAGAGAAATACGAGTAAAGAGATAAACCCTCTATGACACAGGCTTGGATGGGCAGGCCAAAGCTGAAAAAGGAGCACAAGACACTGAGGAAATTCTCCTCACATGACAGACCCAAGAACTAGGGAACAGTATCAAATACAGCCACACATTAAGTAACTGGAGTCCCAAGAAAAAGGATGAAATACATCAAACCACACATTTAGGTAACCAAGAAAAATACCCGGTAAACCCCCCAAAAACAAATCAAAGGTAAACCTGGAAACATCAGAATTGAACAGCTGAAAACCAAAGATGAAAAGAAAATCTTGAAGGCAATAAGAGAAAACAGAATATAAATACAGAAGAACAAAGATTTAAAAATCAGAGGAGGAAGTAAGTATGTAACCCAGAAGACAGTGAAGTGAATCAAGTATGGACAGAAAAGAGCGTCGATCCAGATTTCCATAACTAGAAAAAACATCCTGCACAAATGAAGACCTGTAGGCAGAAAGAACTGCTGCCTTGTGGGGTTTGAAGTAAAATACCACATAGAAAGGGAGGGAGGAACTGAAGTGTATTGTCATAACACTGCACAGCCTCATATAAAACAGTATGACGTCGTTTGAAATCAGACTGTGATAAACTGAAGATACCGTATTCCATAGGGCAACCACTTAGGTGGTTAAAATATTCCCGTTAAAAAATAAGGTTTCCACATTAGTTAAAAAAGATGCAACCATGTTATCTGTAGGAAATCCACTCTAAATATAAACAGATTAAAAGTAAAAAGGTGGCAAAAGATATACCATGTAGACATTACAAAAAAGCTGAAGGGACTATTTATGCTTTTTCTTTTTTTGCCTCCAGGACTTCTGACTATAAACTGTAGATTCCCATGACTAGCCATCCCACCTCAGATTTGATAATTCACTAGAACAGCTCACAAAACCCAGAAAAACAATTTACTTATATATTACCAGTTTATTATAAAGGATTCCACTCTAGAACAGCCAAATAGTAGAGATATATAGGCAAAGTTTGGGGATGTGTGTGGTGTGTGGAACTCCCGTGCCCTCTCTTGGGCACACCACTCAAAGCTCCCCTCAGTCTATTGTTTAGAGGCTCTTATGGAGGTTTCATTACCTAGGCTCGATTGATTAAATCCCTGGCCACTGCTGGTGGCCACCCCCAGGACTTAAGTGATCTAGCAGCCCCCAGCCACCAAGTTACCTCAGTATACAAAAGACACTCTTTTCACGCCAGGGAATCCAAGGGTTTTCGGAACTGTGTGCCAGGAATCACGGGCAAAGATTAAAAAAAAAAAAAAAATTTTTTTTTTTTTTTTTTGCTATATTATAGTCTCTCTCACTACTAAAAACTGCAACAGACCATTTTTTTTTAAACGAAATTCAAATTTTGCAGCATGGCCTAGAACTTCAAGATCAAGCTTATGCTGATGTCTCCAGCTGTATTTCATGCCGTTGCTCACTGTGCTTGCCATGCTAGAAACACACTAGCCATCTTGCTATTGACTGAATGAGTCTAGTGTGTTCCCACCCAGGGCCTTCCTGCCTCTCTCAGGAATGCTCTTCTCTCAGGTCTTTGCTGTCGAGATTTTTCATATAATTTAGGTTCTTTTCAAATATAATCTTGAAGAGGCTCCCTTGGTCACTTGGCTGAAACAGTCCACTTATCCCCCATCACATCATCTCATCTTCCTGTCTTTAAAACCCTTCACAGCATTCAGCATGACCTGAAATTGTAAGATTAATTTATTCGCATCCTTTCTTCCTCTGTGGTCCTTACCTCTACACCTCCCTCCTGAATCTAAGCTCCACAAAAGCAGAGTGCTTGACTTTCTTATTCATTGACGTATCCCGAGGTTTTAGGAGGGCATCAGTTAAATGTTGGTTAAAAGTATACATGTCCCGAAAGCCTATTTTTAGCAAGGCACTGTGTATTTATATCCTGCCTCATCTAATGCTCACAAATATTGTGACAAAGGTCTTATTATCTAAATTTACAATGAGGAAACAGGCTCAAAAAGGTTAAGTGACTTGTCTAAGACAATAAATGGTTTAGCTAGGATTTGTGGACTAGCTGTATTAATATCAAAGTAGGCTTCAGAACAAAAAAGTTCTACTAGAAATAAAGACATCATCATAAAGGAGTCAATTCATCAAGAGGACATAAAGATCCTAATATTTATTCACTTAATAATTCTTTAAATTGATAAAGCAAAAACCAACAGAACCGAAAGGAGAAATAACCACAAAATTATAGCTGCAGACTTCCAACACTGCCTCTCATTGTTTCACTGACAAAGCTTTTGGGGATATTTTCCCATTAGCCCTATGATTTTCAGTACACTATTTTATATGGAGCAGTGATTTTTTTTTTTTTTTTTTTAGGAATACACACATCATGTTATAACAATTCACTCTATTTGTATTCCTTCTTTCTTCTCCATTTATTTTTGGCTTCCTCTTATCTATATAGATACGTAGCCTTTCTGTGTTGCCCAGATTTGCAACTGGTACACTCTCTTCTATCATGTAGCTCCCACATGTGCTTTAAAATTAGTTCTTTGGGGGCACCAGGGTGGCACAGTCGGTTGACTGTCTGACTCTTGGTTTTGGCTCTCGTCGTGATCTCAGGGTTGTGAGATCAGGCCTTTCATCAGCCTCCACGCTCAGCGTGGGGTCTGCTTATTTCTCTCTCCCTCTTCCCACCATGCTCACTCTCTCTCAGATAAATCTTTAAAAAAATTAAAAAACAAAATTAGTTCTTCAGTTAAATTCAGAGCCCACTACCAGCCTTTTCGCCATCTTTTTTTTATGTCATTCCTTGGTTACCTGATATTCATTCTCTAGTAGAGGCTTCTAGGAACAAAGACCCTAGAGTTCTTGTCTATTCAGAAAAGATGTGCTATCCTTGTTAAAGAATATCTTAACTGGGCATAATATTCTCAATGTGACACCTTGAGGATTTTGTAGAAACTGCTCTTCTGACTCTTAGCTACAGATTTTACTGTGGAAAAGTCTGAGGCTATTTGGACTTTCTCTTTTATTGGCCAGTTGTCAAAATGATTGTTTTTTGAAATCTAGTGCCTTTATTAGAATATATCCTAATGTTGACGAGGACTGACTGGCTCTTTTATGTAGATTCAATCATATATCTCTTCCCCCACAAAAAGTGTTCTTGAAATATTTTAAATATTCTACTTCTTTTCCTTTCTATTTTGGGGAATGAATTCTCTGTATGGTATGTTTGTGAACTCTCTTTTTAATGTCATCTTCAAAATTTATTTCATTTTCTTCTTGCTTACATTTCTTTCTGAACAGAATTTTGACAGTACCTATTCTTCCTTGGGATTCCTCCAATTTGCCTTCTTTATTGTGATTATATTTTCTGTTCTCTTTTCTGAATTTGACACCCACCATGTGTTTGCTACTATTCCCTCATTAATATCTTTCTTAAATTCTTGTAACACAGAGATAATTAATTCAATTAGTTCACCCTTTGGAAATTCATGGTTTAATATTTGGTCACATTATTTATCTACTTTATGACTACTCTGATCAGATAACAATTCTATCACCAACTAGCTTTCTTCCGATCTTTTTCACCCCCTTTTTCTTTCAATAGTTTTTTATGCATTTTGTGCTGGTTCCTTTTCCATTACTTGGGCTCAAAGGATGTGAGCTTTTTAAGGAACAGCACACTGCAAAAGGATTACTTGGGAGAGGGAACAGAGTCATGTCTTAGGCTAGTGAGATAATTCATTATGAACAAGTGTTTTGCACATGTGCTGGTCTCAGTTTATAGATCAACCAGGATGTGCCTTCCTTCCTCGCCAGAGTAGCTTCGGCAAGGGCTTGCTCTCCTGGTAATAACTGAGTCAGGTCACTGGGGCTGGTGTTGCTGCAGCTCCAAATTGAGGAAAACCAAGTGTTGAGCTGACTTCACAGAAACTACAAGCCCAAGAGGCTGAACTGGGCCCATGGAGGCTCCGATTTCCCCAGCATCTGCCTAGACAAACTGCTGCAATCCAGAAAAGAGAGGGAGTTAAAACTCTACAGAACAGTTTCATCTCACGAGAGAGGAACAAGACAAAAGATACTATGCTTTTCCCTTCCACCCTCTGACATGCTGCTCCGGCACACACCGGTTCACATTAAGACTCAGAAAAGGTGCTGGTACTCTGAGCAATCAGAGGTGCTAATGACAGAGCTATAGATAATGAGGTAATCACCCCCTGGAGCCATCCCTTCCTTCTAATCAGCCTTAACCCCCCACCCCCGCTTCTCTCATTTTTGTAGAAGGTCTGTACATCCTGACCAACGGTTATCAAGTACGTTTTTGCTTCAAATTCTCTGTCCTAGGAGTACCCACTAAGATAGCATATAAGATTATTTCTACACATTTAGGTGTCTGTTAAGTGGTTTTCCCTCATGTACAGTCTCTCTTACACCGTCACAGAAACAGAGAAAATAGTTCAGAAACTGAAAAATACAGTTTGTGCTTCTACACTTTACTACGTCTGCTTTGCAGAACCAAACTGTCACGAAGGGAACTCAGGCATCTAGTTCACGGCACTGTTGTTCATCAAAGTTTTAGGTTTCATGCCTCAGAGGACGTACTCTGTTCATGAAAAGTGCGCTGCCAGTCCCGGTGAGCATCAGAAATGCTTTTGTTTTCTACCCACCTGCTGATATATACACTCTTTGATCCTTTCATCAGCTTTGCTGCATTTACACTTGTACTTATTTGGGATTTCAGATATCCACTGGTGTCATATAATGAAGCTTGTCTTGCTCACTTTCCTTAATGCTTCTGGATGATTTGTGGGCAGAGAAAGAAAATGCTGACTTTATATATTCTTCTCAAGAAGTTCATTTTGTCTTTGCAAACTGTCTTAACTTGGCTACAGGACACCACATTTTCTGTTTCCACCTTAACCCCAAACTGCTTCTTCTCTCTTTGCTGAGTCTTCTCATTTTCATGACTTCTGAACCTTCAGACCTCTCAAATCTGTTCACTCTTAACTTTAAGGAGAGGTGGTTACCTGATCCCTTAGCCTCAAATACTAAATTTAAAAACGTTAAATACTACAATAAGTTGATAATTTCCAAATAAATATCTCCAACCTGGGGTCTTCCCTAAATTACCTCTGCTCATACAGCCAAATACTTACTTATTCCCCTGTAAACCTGTGTATTTTATAATCACCTGAAATTTGGTATGTGCAATCTAAACTCCTAATGACCGCTCTAAAACCGTTTCTTTCCAGTATCCCGCATCTTGGGAACTGGTCCCCATTCATCTGACTGCTCTGGATGAAATCCTTGGAGTTGTTCTTGACTGCTTTCTTTCTCTCACATTCCTTATCCAACTCAAAGCAGATCTTAGAGGTCCTATCTTCAAAACAGATCCAGAAGCCAATCACTTTTAATCTTCTTCACCACTTCCAACCAAGGGTAAGCAATTATCACCTTTTCATAGACTGAAATACCATCCTGATGGTCTAACTTTCATTCCTCTGCCCCAATAGTATTTTCTTTGCCCAGCAGCCAGAGAGAAAATTTAAAAGATAAATAAGCATGTCACTTATATTAGATAAAATTATACAAATGGCTTCTCACTTCACTCAGAATAAAATCAAAGTCTTTATCATACCCCAAATGGCCCTACGTAATTTGAGCTCCATTACCTCTACAATGCCAACTCTTACCACTTTCTGCTCACTCCTCTCCCCGAATCCACACTGATACTTATGTATCCTCAAAAACACAAAGTACATTCCTGACTTGGTGGACTGACATTTAGTGTCACCTCTGCCATCAAGACTCCCCATGATGTTCACCCTCATTTCATTCAAGTTGATATCCTCAAAATGCCTTCCTGAACTTCCTTTTCTCAAGTATTACATTTCACTATTTTCAATCTATAACTTCCTTGCTATTTTATTGACATATTATGTGTACAGTATGTGTACGTATGTGCTCTTGTTTATTTCTTATCTTTCCCTATCGGAACGTAAGCTCCACGAGGTCAGGAACAAATTTAGTTCGCTGATGTGTTTCAGCACCTAAAACCTGAGTGAGGCACAGCAGGTCCTCAGTATTTGTTTAATGTGAAAATGAACATATAAACAAACACTTGAGATTAAAAACAACTCATACCATGTCACCTGGTGTCCATCTGCTTAATACGTACTAACTCACCTGGGTAGCTCTGGCTTGGGGACTCTTCCTCTAGTATCCATGGCTGCTCTCCTTGCTCCAACTTCAAGATCACTTCTGGTTTAGGGATGCAACACCCTGTAATTGGGAAAAGACATGGGAATTGGGCTAGGCTCATAGGATTCAGGGCCCTTGAAGAAGACAGAAAATGAATCTTCAGGGGCCAATTACAACGTTTCATTGAAGAAGAAAACATTCTTTATTGGTGTTTCAATAATCCTTCTGCTTAATACTTGAATCTCAAGCCTAAGTATCATTAAACTCAACAAAGCTTCTACAGGTGTCAAACCAAGAAAGGAAGTGCACACTAGGAGTCTACATGGAAAACAATCCCTACCCACTGAGACAAGGTGGCTGTAGTTCTCCAGCATCACATCCCTGTACAGGATCCTCTGAGCAGGGCCCAGATGCTGCCACTCCTCCTGGGTAAAGCCCACAGTCACATCCTCAAATGAGAAGGATCCCTGAAACAGCACATTTGTGTTCAAATGTAAGTAATCACAATTGGAAGACATGGAAAAGCTGTCGGAGAATTGTTATGGAGTTTACTGTTCACAATTAGAAAATGTGTTCTGGCACATCTACTTTTGTACTTGGTTGGAGGAGAAAGCATGATAGACATTCCTCACCACTGTGATAAGTTACTGATGTCCCATCATGTGCCTACATGCCATAAAGAACTCTCCAACCTTGAGAATCTGAAAACCAATAAAACCAGGTCACTGTTCTCAAGGAGCATATAATCTGACAAACAGAAACATTAAGCATCCAACTACCATGTAGCATACCATTCTACTACAGTAAAAACATGTGCAAAGTAGAGTGAGGTTACAGAGGGGAGAAAAGTTCTATTCCTGCTATTAGGGTGGGTTTCACTGATAACAGAGTATCATTCATGAACCTGGGGCAACAGCATAACCACGTACACATCTAAAATATGTAGTTAAGGGGCGCCTGGGTGGCTCAGTCGTTAAGCGTCTGCCTTCGACTCAGGTCATGATCCCAGGGTCCTGGATCAAGCCCCGCATCGGGCTCCCTGCTCCACAGGAAGCCAGCTTCTCCCTCTCCCACTGCCCCTGCTTGTGTTCCCTCTCTCGCTGTCTCTCTCTCTCTCTGTCAAATAAATAAATAAAATCTTTAAAAAAATAAAATAAAATAAAATATGTAGTTAAGGGGTGCCTGGGTGGCTCAGGCAGTTAAGTGTCTGCCTTCGGCTCAGGTCATGATCTCAGAGTCCTGGGATCGAGCCCCACATCAGGCTCCCTGCTCAGCAGGGAGTCTGCTTCTCCCTCTCCCGCTCCTGCTGTCTGTGTGTGCTCTCTGTGTCAAATACATAAAATCTTTTAAAAAAAATATGTAGTTAAAGGAGTAAGTGAACACAGAGGAAAGTACTGTTGGGACTATGTTCACATAAAGAACTATAGTAGTCTTTAGGGAATATGTTATTGAGTAATTCTGGACATAACTCCTGTAGGATAGGGGTATCCAAAATGGTTGGTTACTGTTCCATCTAGGAAACCTTTTTTTATAAATAGTAAACTTATAATGTCAATCTATATATTAAATTGCTTTGTTATTATTATTTTTCCTAAGTCACTTTTATTTTTTTCAACTGAATAAACTTGGCATGTAACATTGTGTAACTCTGATATGCTTATATAATGATTGCCAATGTAGCTATATTTATCACATTATATATTATAGTACAATATTACTATCTATATCCATTTCACTGTATGTTAGGTTTCTTCACTCTTCTTTTTATGGATTAAAATAAACCTAGGGAGACACCTGAATATTTTCTTCCCATAACTGAACAGACTGTCTTGTACAGTTCCTAGGTTTTATACTACCCACTTATGAGATGACCACTGTGGAAAATATTGCAAGCAGACACAGAGACATACCATTCTCAGGTTATCAAACCAAACAGCTAATCAATACTCATGCCATATAGTAAAAATTTGTTAATAGGAAAAAGAATAGACTATTATCCAGAAATGTATAAAGTATTATTGAGAAAAAAAACAAAGAATACCTAAATAAATAAAGAAATGTACTATATTCATGGTTTGGACAATATTACAAAAAATTTCATTTCTCCACAAATCGGCCTATAAATTCAAGACAATCAGAATTAAAATCTTAGCAGATATTTTTGTGGAAAATGGTAAGTTGATTCTCAAACTTACATAGAAACTTAAATGGCCAAGAATAACCAAAGCCATCTTGGAGAACAGAATGAATAAACTCACACTAATTATGGTAGGCAGAATCTCAGATTAACTCCAATGGATCCAACCTTGATATAAACTCCTCTGAAGTGGAAGAGACTTAAGTCCCTGTGATTATGTTACATTTTATGGCAAAATAGATTTTGCAAGTATAATTAATATCCCTTAATCAGCTGACTTCGGTCTAAAAAGGAGACTGACTTGGGTGGGCCTGACCTAATCATGTGAGTCTTTTAAAGAACGTAAAATATCAGAGAATCTTCTACTGACCTCAAAGAAGCAGCAAGCTACTGTGAGTTCTACAGCTGTGCAGAAATAATTTCTGCCACATATGTATAAATGGGAACCCAACCAAGCCCTAGATAAGGAGAGCCAGGCAACACCTTGACTGCAGCTTTAATGCCTAAGAGAACCTAGCTAACCTAGTCCTAGACACCTGATCCACAAAAACTGTGAGATAATAAATTTATGTGATTCTTACCTGTAAAATTGGAGGGAACTTATTATGAAGTAGAAAATTGATGTACTAGTGTATATAAAGATTTATTCTGAAGTTAGAGTAATTTAACAGAGCGTGCTATCAGTAAAAGAATAAACTGAAAGATCAATGGAACTAAATTTATAGTCTAGGAACTGGACATGCATGGACACCTGGTTTATAAAAAAAAGTGTTATATTAGGGCAGTGAGAAAAGGACATTAAAAAAAACAATTTTGATTTCAATCTCACATATGTGAAAATCAAGTCCAGATGGATTATAGGTTAAAATGTGATCAGTAAAACTTCCAGAAAATAACACAAAAAACTATCCTCATAATCTGTAGACAAGCAAAAAAATTTTAAGCAAGACACCAAAAGTACTAACCATAAAGGAAAAGAATGAAATAAATTGCATTACATTAAAATTAAGAACTTCTACTAATCAAAAGGAAACCATTAATTAAAAAAAAGCAAATCAGGGGCGCCTGGGTGGCTCAGTTAGTTAAGCGTCTGCCTTCGGCTCAGGTCATGATCCCAGGGTCCTGGGATCAAGCCCCGCATCAGGCTCCCTGCTCCTTGGGGAGCCTGCTTCTCCCTCTCCCTTTGTCTGCTACTCCCCCTGCTTGTGCTCTCTCGCTCTCTGTCAAATAAGTAAATAAAATCTTAAAAATAAAATAAAATAAATAAAGTAAATCAGCAGGAAATTTTGGCAACATACTGAAATGATAAGGAGATTATATCCAGAATATATAAAATACTTCTAAAATCAATATGAACAACACAATCTAATGGAAAAATGCGAAAAGGACCTAACAATGACTTCAAAGAGAAAAGATCCATGGCCAATAAACACGGTAAAAGGTGCTCAACCTAAACAGTCAACCACTGGATGAAAGGTCACTGGGAATAAGAACGTTCACAGTCTCCAAGTTTCACCTGACAGATTATTAGTTTACGAAAAGAGAAAAGAAAATCTACTCTTCAAGTGGAGGTATCTGGTGGTATTACCGATAATGCTACAGTCAGACCATATAAAAAGCATACAACAGGGGCACCTGCGTGGCTCAGTCAGTTAAGCATCTGCCTTCTGCTCGGGTCATGATCCCGGAGTCTCGGGATCAAGCCCCGCATCAGGCTCCCTGCTCAACAGGGAGTCTGCTTCTACCTCTCCCTCTCACCCTGATCGCACTCTCTCTCAAATAAATAAATTAAAAATAAACAAATAAATAAGTATACAATAAATGAGCCTAATAAAAATGTATATTCTGAATCTAATCATGAGGAAAAACAGATCAGTCAACACAGACATGGGGGCATTCTACAATCATGATTCTCAACATGGCTGCACACTGCCAGGTGTTACCCCCAGAGTTTCTGACCTAACTGGTATGGAGTGTAGTCTCAGTACAGGAATATTCAAAGAGTTTCAGATGATTCTAAAGCACAGTTAAGTACAAGAAAACTATTTAACAAGACATGTGACCAGGACTTAAAAAAAAAAAGTCCATAATATGAAAGAATACAAGGGCATGATCTTTAATTGGATCCTAAACCCAATAAAGTTTAAAGGACACTTTGGGCGCAGATAGGGGTAGATCACAAATAAAGAAAATATGTGAGGAAAATGCATGTATTTCTTTAACATTGTAAAATACAAAAGCTGAAGTAAAAATATTTAGGCATGAAGTTATAACAAAAAATGAACAAAACCTACATAAAGAAAACTATGAAAGTGCTCAGGCCATGATCCCAGGGTCCTGCGATCGAGTCCCACATCGGGCTCCCTGCTCCGCGGGAAGCCTGCTTCTCCCTCTCCTACTCCCCCTGCTTGTGTTCCTGCTCTTGCTATGTCTCTCTCTGTCAAATAAGTAAGTAAAATCTTTAAAAACAACAACAACAACAAAAACTACATTTAAAGAAACTGAAAGCTAGCTCATGTTCTCACATAGGAAATGTTAGCATCAAGATTTTGATTCATAAATTAATAGAGCAATTTAATGCAGTCTCAAAAAATACCACCAAGCTTCTAACCTGAAATAAGGCAAGTTGACTATATATTTGAACTGGAAGGAAAGCAAGGTCAGCCAAGAAAAACCTGAAAAAAAGAGCAATGAGGAGAGCTAATCTACCAGACAGTACCAGACATAAACATAAAACTGCTATAAATAAAATAACTTGGTAGAGACACTTTATAAATAGAAAGACGTATCAATGGAAACAGACTAAAATGCATCTGAAACTTAGTAAATGATAATGACAGTTTCATAAAGTAGGAAAAAGAATCTTTCACTAAGAGTGGTAGGATAATTTAATAGGTTAAGAAAGACAAAACAGGATCCATTCTCATCTATACATCAGGACAACTGCAGATGGATCGGTTAAGCTTAAATGTAAAAAAAAAAGGGGCGGCTATGTAAGTACTAGAAGAAAACATGGGTGAGTTCCCCCATAACTTAGAAAGAATAAAACTTTCCTAACCATAACTAAAAATCCAGATGCAGAGCCCACAAAGCTCAGTCAGTAGAGCATCAGAATTTTTTAAAAATCCAGATGCAATAAAATAAAGTACTGACAAGATTTGACCACATAAAATTATAAAACAAAAAACCAAACAAATCCTCTGCAGAATTAAATAAAACCCAAAGAAAAGTGACAAGAAAAATGACAACCCAGAAGTATTTGCAACTTACATGACAAAGAAAGGGTTGGTACCCCTATAGAAAGAGTTCCTAAAAAGGAAAAAACCAATA